TCATTTTGTATTGGAAAATAAATCATACTATAGAAATGGGCATAAAGTAAATGTATAGCAACACAAGTTAGAGGCAAATATCCTTTTACCCACACACACCTGTAAATAAACTGTGACACCACCCTAGTAGCTCTCAAAATCCTGATCCCCTCCCTCCCTACGAAGGCGATTACTATGTGGACATTATAGCAATCACTTCCTTGTATGTCTTAGAGCTTTATGAAAATGAAATCAGATTATATGTAAATTCTTGGTCTGGTTTCTTTCACTGAACACTGGTTTTTTTCACTGCGTAAGTTTGAGATTTATCCACGCTACTGCATGTCACTATGGCTCATATCATTGTTGTAAAGTATCCTCTTGTATGATTACGCCACAATTATCCATTTTACTGTTGGTGGACAATTCAATTGTTTTTACTTTGTGACTATTATTAATAGTAGTATTATATATGTTCTTATACACATCTTCATGTGCATGCAGAGGAAGACATAACACCTGTCTTCAGTTTTAGTAAGTATTCCTTAATTATTCAAAGTACTTATTCCAGTTTACATCCCTACTAACAGTATGTGACAGTTGCTTCACATCCTTGCCAACACTGGCATTAACTTATCTTGTGAGCATATAACAGTATTTCATTGTCACTTTAATAAGAGCCCTCCCCTTTTTCATATGTGTTTTGGCTGATTCCTACTTTTGTGAACTTTAGTCGTTCATTGGAGGCTTTTTTTTTTTTTTTTTTTTTGAGACAGAATTTCGCTCTCGTTGCCCAGGCTGGAGTGCAATGGCATGATCTTGACTCACCACAACCTCTTCCTCCCGGTTTCAAGTGATTCCCCTGCTTCAGCCTCCCAAGTAGCTGGGATTACAGGCATGCGCCACCACGCCTGGCTAATTTTTGTATTTTTGGTAGAGATGGGGTTTCTCCATGTTGGTCAGGCTGGCCTCGAACTCCCAACCTCAGGTGATCTGCCCCCACCCCGGCCTCCCAAAGTGCTGGGATTACAGGCATGAGCCACTACGCCTGGCCTTTTTTTTTTTTTTTATTTGTCAGGAGACTTAAAAAATATATATTATATTAAAAATAGGTTTTTAAAATTTTATTATTTTTCATTATGTAAAAAATAGTTCCTGGCTGAGCATGATGGCTCACACCTGTAATCCTAGCACTTGGGGAGGCTGAGGTGGGAGGATCACTTGAGCTCTGGAGTTTGAGACCAGCTGGGGCAAACCCTGCCTCTACAAAAAATACAAAAGTTAGCTAGGCATGTGCCTGTAGTCCCACCTACTTGGCCAACTGAAGCAGGAGAATCCCTTGAGACGGGGACATGGAGGCTGTAGTGAGCTTTGTTTGTGCCACTGCACTCTAGCCTGGGTGACAAAGTGAGACCCTGTCTCAAAAAAAAGTTTCTAATTTTAATCAAATTTATCACTCTTTTCCTTCTGTGGTTAATGCTTTTTGTGTCATGTTTAAGAAATCTTTTCCTAAATAAACATTTCCACATTATCTTCTTACAGGTTTATTATTTTACCTTTCATGTTTAGATCTACAGTCTACCCAGAATTGATTTTCTCTCTCATGTGTGAGGTCAGGGCCGAGTTAACTTTTTCCATATGGATACCAAATTGTATCAGCATTCATGTTTGAAAACACTGCCATTTCCCTGCTTTCTGCATACCACCTTCTGTTCTAAATCAAGTGTGTATGATGATTGTTTTTTTCTGTCTGCCTGTTTTTTTGTTTGGGTACCATACTATTTTATTTACTTTGGCTTTATGGTATTTGAGGTTTGGGATAAAGTACAGATCTCCAACAAAATAACACTGTCACTTCAGCAGATTCTGATACAAGTGGTCCATGGATGACATCCCTGCTCTAGAGATGCTCTAGAGCATCTCCATGAGAGAGCTCCCAAATTCTGGCTTAGTATATTTGCCTTTGTTTATAGTTGTAAAAACACATTATTAAATGGAGCTATTTTGATACATAGTTGCACACATTGTTCATGCTTGCACATATAAAAACAATTTCTGGTATTTTCTAATCTTAATGAGCACCAATGATTTCACAATGGTCCATTGTATGTATCCTGGTCCATTTTATATATTCATTTGCTGATATTTCTTCCTTATAATTCTGCAAATATAGTAAAATGTTAATTATAGACTCTAAATGTTGGGGCTGTAGGTGTTCTTACACAGTTTATTTTCACTTTTCTGTATTTTTGAGAATTTTTATAATATTGGAAAAATGGTACAGAGAATACTTTATGGTATAAAATCCATCCTCCCCTTTTGTATCTACGATGGATTGTGGTAGATTTGATAAACCCTTTTTGATAGAGTCTCAGACTTTCTGAGTCAAAGTGCATACACATTTTTAGAGCTCTTTGAAATGCATTACTAAATAGATTTCTGTAAGAAATTTTTACTTGTTAACCTTCCCACTAGCAACATGCATGTCAGTTTCATAGCCTTTATCAATATTGACATCAGCAGAAATATAAATTTTATTCTAATCCTTGTTTTTTTTTTTGAGATGGGGGTCTTGCTATGTTGCTCAGGCTGGCCTCAAACTCCTGGGCTCAAGTGATCCTCCTGATTCAGCCTCCTGAGTAGCTGGGACTTGAGGCATGAGCCATTGGCACTTGACTCTATAATCCTTATTTTAAACTTGTATATCTAGTTAGGTTGATTATTTTTCTTTTTGGTTAATTCTTTATGAAATATCTTGTATCCGTTTACCTACTAGCATTTTATTGATAATCTAATCTGACAAAAAAGGGTGAGAAAATTCCTCTGGGAAAATGAGCAGATGACTAACAAGGGCAAATCTGAGAAAGAACAGAGAAGATATAAGCCCTACCAAGAATTAAAACATATAAAACTTTAGTAACAGACTGATGAAGTAAGTAGTTGGGAATTAGAGAGCTTCTTCAGAATTTGGTATAAGATACAGCAAAAGCTCACCAGAGATCACAAATTAAATGATTAAGAGTGTTCAATTTATAGTTCCCCACACCATTCAATATGCCACATTGTCAGTGGTTTATAATTAGATATTAAAAATAAAATGAATATTTTTTAGTGGGCAAGGAATCATCTAAGTTTAGTAGAGATTGCAAATATTACCAAGGAAAATAAAACAGATTGCACCACATAAAGATTTAATTTTTATAATTTAATAACAGCTGATAACCAAAATGTGAAAATATAAGCAATAGTTTATTAGAGCGAAATATCAGAAAAAGATCTAATATCCTAGTTGACGTTAAGACTCTTTAGGGAAGGCCTTATTTATCTTTTTACTTTCTGTTTTTTTCTACAGAAGTCAATAATTATTTAACTTTTAGCTCACAGGAAACTACTAGAAATAAACTGATGATGGCTACACTCTTCTTTGTGCCATGTTTTGGGGTTTTTCTCCCCAGCTTTTTTGGATTTCAGAAATGAAGTTCCAAAAAACTTTAGTTGTTTTATTTTTCTTTCTTTTTTTTGAGACAGGATGTCTTTCTGTCACCCAGGCAGGAGTGCAGTGGCGCAATCACAGCTCACTGCAACTTCCCTGGGCTCAAGTGATCCTCCTGCCTCAGCCTCCCAAGTAGCTAGGACTACAGGCATGTGCCATCATCATGCCTGGCTGATTTTTAAATTTTTTTGTAGAGATGGGGTCTCGCTATGTTGCCCAGGCTGGTCTTGAACTCCTGGTTTCAAGTGAACCTCCAGCTTTGGTCTCCCATAGTGCTGGGATTACAGGCATGAGCCACCGCGACCAGCCAGAAAAATCTTTAAGTGTGAATATTGGTAAACACTTCCCTGGAGACGATCAGCATGAAGGCCTTTAGAACTAAAAATAATTCATTGGAAACTAGCATGATACTGGCAGTTAACAAAAATATTTTTATACATAGGAGGGGTTATGTGTGTCAGACCAAGAGGGCTTACTGTTGTCTGATAAAGCATTTGTTCACTTTGCTACTGAGAGACATGAAGATTGCTCAGTGAATGAATGGTAAATGATACTCATTTGGTTTCCTGCAGTGGATCCTGACAATACTAACTTGATATCGTTTGTTCTGCATGTTGGTTAGAGATTGTATTGCCACATTTTGGAGGATCTTCATAAAACTAATTTCCATTTAAAAAATGACGAGGTAGCTACAGATGTGGTGTTCAGGTCAAGAAGGCAGGGTCACTCCTCTCTATGGCTAAGTATTGACTGTGATGATGTGCTTAGGCACACAGTGCCATTTAAACATACCTTATCTTTTATCTGATAAATGATCTTTTAAAAATTACCTGTATTCACGAACAGCTAATACTACTGTTCACTTAAATCCAGTACAACTAATTTTCCCTCCAGTTTTGGAAATCGATCAGTTTTTCTCCAACTGAGCACCAGAGAAAGTAGTTGTCCCACTCTCACCACCACAAGTATATATATTTGGGGGTCTTTTGGTGTGAAAAATAGTTTATTTAGAAAATTAGATTCATCTTCTGTAAGAGGTGCTCATGCTGTGGTGTGTGTATTTTTGTTTTTAGTCACTTTTCTGTTATAGAAGACAGTAGAGCATCTTTGTTAATAGCAGGGTCTTTGGGGTACCCAACCCAGGGCCATATGCATTTGGCCAAGTTAATTAACATCTTTGAGCTTCACTTTTGTGGAAAGGGGGAAATAATTGTAACTCCTCGGGTACTGAAAGTTATTAAATGAGAGATAAATGCTTGTAATGCTCCTAGCTCATAATGAATTCTAACTTTTAAATTTTGGTCTTGTTAGTGATACGTTTTTCCAAATTTATTTTCTTTGGTTAATATTTGAAAGCTTTACCAACCAAATTTAGAAAATATTTCCAACTTGATACGTAACCAAGAATACAACACTTAGTATGTGCTCTCCTGGTTGTGTCAAGGTAGTGCAAATGTGGCAGATTCAGCACATTTTGTAGTACTGATTATTGAACGTTTTTATAGCTAATTTCTTTCTTTGATTACAGCACCCATATATCTCCCATCAGCATCCTACCAGCGTCTACAGAGTAAGTAGTGTATTTATAGAAGACATTTTTAAGATTTTAAGATACTACTAAGCTGTAGAAATGAAAATAATGTATTTATTGTGCTGACTTTAGAGGAAAGACTGTACACAGGCAGTAAACTAGTTTTTTATGTACTGTGATAGGAACAAATGAAGAAGAAACCCATTGCATTAATATACAAAATAAAGATGAGCTTTCTTCAGATGATTCTTTTGAATCCTCTGAAATAATTGAAAAATGTTCATAGAATATGTTTTTAAAAAGTAGACTTTACATAAAAAGTGTGAGCAATACTCATAGTTTCTTTCGTTTAGATGTTAGATTATTTTGCTTTATAAAAATAGCTTTGAAAAGCCTTAATGAGTGGTTTTCTGTATAGTGAGGAGTGAATTATAGGGACAACTGATCATTCCCATCTCAGTAATAATAGTGACATTATGGTTGATTTGTATATGATTGTTTGGGTAAATTTCACTTTTAAAACTTAAGCCAGTATCATGTATTCCTTTTATGTATTTCTTTTTACACTTCGGTTTACCCATTTAAGTACCATAATAGTTTTACTGGTCATAGGTTTTAGCGTTTATGTCTGTGTCACCAGATGCCCAGTTAGAGTGACTGCTTCTTACTAAAATGTATTATGTTTTGTAGTATTTTAGAAAGAACAATTAGAGCAGCTGTGGAACAGCACCTTTTTGATCTGCAGAGCAGCATAGATCATGATCTTAAGAATTTACAACAGCAAAGTGTGGTGTGTAATAACGAAGCAGAAAGTATTCATTGTGATGGGGAAGGATCTAATAACCAGTAAGAAATATTTTATTGTTGTTTATTAAATGTTATAAAATTGTTTTATCTTAAAACTAATTCTACTTAAATAACAGGATCTCATCTTTCTTGGAGATTTCTGAAAGTCATTGTGAAAAGTGACTTTGTATATATACTTGTATATACATCCATAATTAACACTGAGTATCTCATAACTTTTTTTATAATGTATGTTTATTAAGTTCAACACAGGTTTTTTTTTTTCTTCCCTGAACATCGAATGAAGTAACAAGCTTACCTTTAGGAATTATGTTGTATGAAAAATAACTTTAAAAAATTAGACTGTGCAAGAGAGTGATCTAGACAGACAGTTGCAGGGGCAGCAGATTGATATCACTATTATGCATATAATCACTGAGTGAAATGGTGGGCAGAATCATCCTTTCTATTTAAATAGTTATCCCTTGCCACCAGCCTATCCCCTCCTTACGCTTTTGTTAGGTTAGCTCTTAATACAGGTTGAACATCCCTAATGGAAAAATCCAAAATCTGACATGCTCTCAAATCCAAAACTTTGAGCACTGACATGATACTCAGAAGAAATGCTCATTTGAGCATTTTCGATTTTGGATTTTCAGATTAGGAATGCCAGTCTGGCACCTCTCTTTGGGATGTTGTGAGGGACTTTGTTGTTACACTCTCTGAAAATTTTCATAAGCAAATGAATGGCTTTTAAAATAATTTATGAGCCAGTTGCTTGCTAACTGGCAATATTCCAAAATCTGAAAACAAACAAACAAAAACCAAATCTGAAACACTTCTGGTCCCAAGCGTTTCCGACAAGGAATACTCAACCTGTATTTAACTATGTATTAGTTAAAAGTACTTGTAATGCGTGATGTTGCTCCACTCTTCATCTGACCTGTTACCTTTAAATGAAGGAAAGCCTCTCTTTGTTTTCTGTTACTTCAGTCCTGTACTTCAGGATACCTGTGTGCCTCCCTCAGAGACCATGGTGCAGTGATTTCATGTTTTTCATATATCAGTTTTTTGCAGGGGGACAGATGAGAAAGATGTACCCAAATCTAGAAGATTTGTAGGAAGGTAAAGGAAAAAAAAGATTATTGGGGAGTGATTTTTTTTTTAAAGACAGTTTTTAAAAGGGCTAACTAGAATAGCTATCAAATATAAAATGAAAAATATAAATTGATGTGAGTACCAGTGGTGAAGTGTTTATTTTTGGAATACCATATAGTACAATTGCAAGCACCATGGATAACACTGCCAGGCAGTGCAGCTGTATTTGATGGCCTTGGTTTGTGTACTTTGAAGGCATGATTAGAATGTATACAACTGGGAAAAGGTGGGAGAGGGAAAGAGAGGAAAAATAGAAAAATTGAAAAAGAAAAAAAAGCATGTATACAACTGGATCTATTGGGAGTATTTGGGCAGAATATGAAGGAAAAAATCAGTATCTAAAAGTTAGAAATAATGGGAAAATGTTTCAAAGGATGTAAGCAGATTTCTTGGAGTTTGTCCTTAGCTTAGCTAGGGATTCTGGAAACCTATACCCATTACTCAGATGATAAGTCTTATTTTCACCACTGGGGAACACATGTTCTATTGAGGGTAGTGGTATCATCTTTGGAAACAAAAACTGTAGCAGTGTTTTGGATATTCTAAACTGTGTAAGATGACAACTCTGCAGTAGGAAACTATTTCTGTTTTACTTGATAAGGTGTTGGACTTGTACTGGACTAGTACTGGACTTGTATTTGATCAGGACAGATGTGTCATTATTATGTGAGAGTGTGCATTTACAAGGGAAATGATTATTTTGGAACATAAATTATTTTAGAAGCCATTTATTCGCTTATGAACATTTTTAGAGGGGATAACAAGGTCCCTCACAACATCCCAAGGAGATAAAAATGTAGCAGATTTAATAATCTGATTTAGCAAGACAAAAGTATGGATTTTTGTGAAAAGTTCACATTTTCTTTAACAAGTAAAAGTTTCAGATCATTATTCATATTTACTTATTTTAAAGTAAAGGCATTACACACTCAACATTTGGCCTGATCTGATTTTTAAACTTCATCCCTAGGGTTGATATTGCTGATGGTATTATTAATGCCAGTGAAAGTAACAGAGACTGTTCAGAACCTGTGGCTAGCACTAATTTAGACAATGAAGTTATGCAGCAAGATTGTGTATTTGATAATGAAGAAAATAACCAGGTAAGGAATGTCAAAAATATGTGTTAGATATACAACTTTGATTGCTTCATGTGTTTCTTTGATGCCAGAAGTTTTAGTTCAGTATTTTGCTGATGCACTTAATTGTCTCAATTATAAATCCCCAAGAATATACATTCTCTCAGAGTTTAGGAAACATCACTGGGTAGAGAAGTATAATACAACTTATTGACTGGGTGTCACTGGCGGCTCACGCCTGTAATCCCAGCACTTTGGGAGGCCAAGGCGGGCAGATCACAAGGTCAGGAGATTGAGACCATCCTGGCTAACACGGTAAAACCCCATCTCTACTAAAAATACAAAAAAATTAGCGGGGTGTGGTGGTAGGCTACCCGGGAGGCTGAGGCAGGAGAAAGGTGTGAACCCGGGAGGCAGAGCTTGCCGTGAGCCAAGATTGTGCCATTGCACTCTAGCCTGGGCGACAGAGTGAGACTCCATCTCAAAAAAACAAAAAAACAAAAAACAAAAAAAAACTAAAAAAAAGTTTCAACTTATTTTAAATTATTTTCCTAGAAAGAAATTATGATGTCCGCTGAGGTAGCTAGGTGGTATTATGGTTGACTTTTGTTATTTTTAAGACAGCTTCTGTATTTCTTAGGAGTTTTGCTGAAGAACATGGTATAGGGGAGAACATATAATATTCTCATACAGTTCTTAGGATGGGATAGACCTCTGCAACAAAATACTGGTTAACAAGAGAAAAACAAGTTTTAAGACATGTATCCCTCATATACACATGGGAGATACTCGGGGGAAGTGAGTAAATCTCTCAGAGGTGGCTTAAATACCATCATGTCCTGAAACAAAGGAAAAAAGGGTGTTAGGGAGACCTAGTTGTAATGAGATGACCAGGAAAATCACTGTAAGCAAAGTTAATCTTTGCCCTGAAGATTGATAGTTTTTAGTGATTTAAAGTCATATTTCTTTTGCTCGTACAGAGAGGAGACACCCGTAGAAACGGAGATTTCTACTACAGGTGAAAATTCCTTTTATAAAAGGGTGTCTTCTCTGTATTATCCTGTGTTTGCTATTTCTGAAAATAATAAACTAAAAATAATCCTTATGCCAAAGAGTAATAATTTGATGTGGCATGTTCTGAATCCTCACTGTTGGCATCCTTTCTTGATTAGCAAAAACCCAGGAACATTGTTGTAATAATGACTAAATTATTGTCACTGTCACATTTGTTAGTGTTAACTTTTTTTTAATATAATTGCCATTAAATGTAAAAAGCAGCATCTTTCTAAGACACTCAAAATGTAATTTTGATGCTACTTTTAAAAATAAGATGCTAAATTAATAGATAAGGTGGGTTTCCTCAGTATATTTTCATTCTAAACCATACACTAAAGTAGGGCTCAAGAGGAATTTAGAGTAAGAAGACTTAGGCTTTGTATTCTGCCTTTGTTCAGTATCACTGGATTATCAATTTCTGCCTGTCTACCTAGTCATTCCCATCAGTTTAAAACATTTATACTGTTATTTCTTCCAAGTTCAGAAAAATCCCTCTCTTGACTTCCCCCCATCCCATTCTAGCTACATACACCCTGATTTCTCTGCTTCCCTTTATAAATAGAATTGCTGGAAGAATTGTCTGTGTCTCTTTTCTTTAACTCTTTTCCTCCAATTTTCTCCTAAATTCACTGCAGCTATCCTTTCCTCTGACCATTCATTCCTCTGAAATAGCTTTTGCAAGTCACCAGTGATGTCTGTTGAATGTTTTATTTGACCTAATAGCAAAGTTTGATTCAATTAATTACTCCCACTACCTTGATATACTTTTTTCACTTGGCATTCAGGATAGCTCATTCTCTCTCTCTTTTTTTTTTTTTTCCCCTACACTGGCTGTTCTCTCATTCCCCTCTGCTGATTGCTCTTCCTCTTCTGAATCTCTTAAATTTGGAATGGCCCAGGGCCCATTTCTCAGATTGCTTATTTTTATTCACTTCCTCAGTAATCTTGTTTAGCCTAATGGCTCTAACTACCATCTATATGCTACTGATTCCCAAATTTGTATCTCCAGTCCAGATGTGTTTTGGAATTTTAGATTGCTGTATCCAACCAGGCACCCAGCATTTCCACTGGTGTATCTTTACCAAGCATCTGTTGAGTAGGAAAGATTTCTTTCCTTACCTGTCATTAGGTTCATAGCTGAGGCACCTGTAACAGAAGACATTAATAAGAGAAAAGCGTACACATTTATTTAATGTAAGTTTTACATGACATGAACACCTTCAGAAATCAAGACCCAAAGAAACAGACACACCTGTGTATTTTAATGCTTTGGTTTGATGAAAAGTGGACAGTGGTGTGGATGAATAATTAGACAAAGAGGATGATAAATGAAGGGCGGCTGATTAACCAAGGCCTTGTTTGTTGAGATTCTTTTCTGTGTCCCTGTGTATTCAGAGATAAGGGCATTCCTTTCATCCAGGTATAGGGTAGCTACTTCTGGAATGAAGGGTTTTTTTTGTTTGTTTGTTTGTTTGTTTTGAGATGCAGTTTTGCTCTTCTTGCCCAGGCTGCAGCAGTGGTGCAATCTCAGCTCACCGCAACCTCTACCTCTCGTGTACAAGCAATTCTCCTGTCTCAGCCTCCCTAGTAGCTGGGATTACAGACGCCTGCCACCATGCCAGGCTAATTTTTTGTATTTTTAGTTGAGACAGAGTTTCACTATGTTGGCCAGGCTGGTCTCGAGCTCCTGACCTCAGGTGACCTGCCTGCCGTGGCCTCCCAAAGTGCTGGGATTACAGGCGTGAGCCACCGCACCCAGCCAAAGGTTTTATGACTTACCTCAGAAGAGAAGTCTGACCACTTTTTACTGTTTCTGTTGCCACCCTGCAGGTCCAAACTGCCATCATGTCACCTGGATTAATATTGCCTCCTAATTGATCTCATCTTTGTTTCTTGATGGTGTGTTATCAACACAGAACCACAATGATCCTTTTAAAAGGAAAATTAGATAATGACACTTCTCTTCCTAAAACCTTCTAGTGCCATCTAGGTATCAAAATACAGCTGTAGGCACTACGGAATATTGGCTGTGATAGTCAGGATTGAGACAGCTAAATCTTAAGTCCTGTCTGGATTGCTTATTTGTGGATATCTCCTTAGCTTACATTCTTACCTAGTCTTGCAGGTATTTCCTCAATTTTGCCAAATCTCCTCATCACTCTGTGTTTGTGGCAGGCCCTCCCACTTACCTACCTACTCCAGTCTCTGAACTTTTTGTCCTTTTTCCCTGCTTCCCTTTCCTCCCCACTTTTTTTTTTCCCCGAGATGGGGTCTTCCTTTGTTGCCCAGGCTGGAGTGCGGCGGCACAGTCTCGGCACAGTACAGCCTCTGTCCCCTGGGTTCAAGCCATTCTCCTGCCTCAGCCTCCCAGGTAGTTGGGATTACAGGCATGCGCCACCAAGCCAGGCTAATTTTTGTATTTTTAGTAGAGATGGGGTTTCACAGTGTTGGCCAGGCTGATCTCGATCTCCTGACCTCAAGTGATCTGCATGCCAGCATAGCATCTGGCACATAGTAAGCTAGTAAGCAACTTGGTAAATAATTTGTTGAATGAAATTGGTGTATCAGGCTGGGCGCAGTGGCTTACACCTGTAATCCTAGCACTTTGGGAGGCTGAGGCAGGTGGATTGCTTGAGCCCCAGGATTTCAAGACCAGCCTGGGCAACATGGTGCAACCCCTCTCTATAAAAAATAAAAATTAACCAGGCATGGTGGCTCACGCCTGTAATCCCAGCACTTTGGGAGGCCGAGGTGGGTGGATCACCTGAGGTCAGGAGTTTGAGACCAGCCTGGCCAACATGGTGAAACCTCATCTCTACCAAAAAATACAAAAATTAACTGGGTGTGGTGGCACATGCCTGTAGTCCCAGCTACTTGGGAGGCTGAGGCAGGAGAATTTCTTGAACTCGGGAAGAGGGGTTGCAGTTAGCCGAGATTATGCCACTGCACTCTGGCCTGGGCAAAAGAGTAAGACCCTGTCTCAAAAAAAAAAAAAAAAAAGTCTGAACTGTGAGCCCTAGGGAAGGAAGGAAAAATAGAGAAAATTCCAAAGGCGAAAATGATTAAATTTAGGTGCAAACTGGGGTAAGAAATACAGACACTAAGAGACTGGAAAAGAGGTCAGTGTTGCAGAACTGGAATATCAAGGTGGTTTATATGAAGCAGATGTTTAGGTCTTGAGCTGTGGCTGGTGGTGGGGGCTCATTTTGTCTGTGAGTGAATGCAGTGACTTGAATAAGAGAATAAATGGGGATTGAAGAAACCCTAGGGGAACCTCTGTATTCTAGCACTTTGGAGGAAAAAAAAGCAGCCATGACCATAGCAGTTGGGAATGTCAAAGAGGATGGGATTTTTTCCTGAGTCTGAAAGTTGGTCAAAATAGAGAGGTAAAAGGAGAAAAAAGGTGGGAGGCAAAGGTACAAAAATAAGAAGAGTAAGTTTAATTTTATTTGCTTACTAGGGGGGTTAAAAGTCTAATGAAATGGCTTTTTTTTCCTTTGCCTTTGCTGTTGAACAAAAAATTTAAGAATACCCAGGAACAATACATTTAATGCTGGTGAGGGTAAGTTAAGATAAGTGGTCTCAAATAGACATGGGAAGTATAAATTGCTGTAAACTTCCTGGAAAACACATTAACAGTAAGAACAAAAGACCTTAAACCTTTGATCCAGAAATTTCAAAATCCAAGACTGTGTCCTAAGGAAATACATTCAAATCAGGGGTGTATGCAAAGATTTTTCTACTAGAATTCTTATTGGGGGTTTATTTGCAGGGAAAAAAAATGGGAAACACAAAAAGTCCTAAATGGAAAATGATTAGATAAATTATAGTATATCCATATACTAGGATATTGTTGAGTCATTTAAAATTATTTTAAAGGTCTGGGTAATAGTTGTGAGTTAAAGTTATTTAGAAGAAAAAAAAAAAAAAACACCCAAGTGTAGATTACTAAAGCTAATGCAGTCCCA